GTGTGTGCGTGTGTGTGCGTGTATCTGTGTGTGTGTGCGCTCTCTCTCTCTCTCTCTCTCTCTCTCTCTCTCTCTCTCTCTATCTCTCTCTCTCTCTCTCTCTCTCTCTCTCTCTCTCTCTCTCTCTCTCTCTCTCTCTCTCTCTCTCTCTCTCTCTCTCTCTCTCTCTCTCTCTCTCTCTCTTTTCACTCTGATATCTTCAACCCCTCACACACAAATACACGCTCACACATGCGCTCACATATTCACTCACACACATATTCACTCACACATACATTCACTCAAATACTCACACACACAACACACACACACACACAAACCATACAGACCCCGCGATATCGACAAGGCATGCGCTGCCGACGACAACCACACCTACCGCAACCCCAAATATATGACGACTCTCATCGGTATGTTGTGCAAGCACGTGCTCTTTCTTGTCACATATCTTCACTGTGCGCAACGCAACGGCTTGGACTTTGCTGCACAGAAGTGCTGTGTGCCATTGCATCTTGCGCTTGGTCCCAATGCCCCACCACTACTCGCACGCTCGCATTTGTTTGGTGCTCGCACCTTCGGAATACCCACCCCGCCTCCTCCCTGGCACATGTTTGCTCGCCCATCCAACTTCAGCTGGGTCGCCCGGTGACCAGGAAACGACGCTTGAAGGCATGTGTCTTGGGGACGAGGTGGTGGAGCCAAACATTCGCGGGACCATGGCTGAGTGCCAGCCAAACTACGGCTACGGCATCATGACCTTTCCCAACCGCACCCACATGCACTGGGAGTGGCTGGAGGTGAAGCACGGTGACCTGCTCGCTGGTGGCGATGGCGACGGTGTGGATGTGCAGCGCACGCGCAACGACCACCTCTGGCTCATTCGCGACCACTGAACAGAGTGAGGCGGACAACGCAGGGGTGATGGCGGCTGCAGGCGTTGTTTCATGTGTTACATTACAGTCATCACAGTGGCTTCACGTGCGTCGTATTGTGTGTTGCATGGGAAGTTTTTTAATGTTCTTGGTGTTCTTGTTTGTATGTTGTTGTGGGTGTGTGACATGCGATTTCTCCTCCATGTGTTGGTGGAGTGGACTGAAGAGTACGTAAGTCATGAAGGAGTGACAGATGAATAAGGAAGAAGCACGAGGTATCTAGCAAGTTAGGAAAGATAATTGGTCATCGCAAGAAAAGAAGTGCGCACTTCCACATATTCACACACACATCAACACATGCACACGCCACACACACACACACACACACACACACACACACACACACACACATCTTCAACCCAACCCCCAACCCCTTACGCCACCATGGGCGTTTGTGTATGGAATTCGTCGGGCATGTTGCGGTCAAGACACCACTTGTGCGCAATTGGCCACTGCTCTCGGACCATGGGACTGGAAGGGTTTCGTTCCTTCTCGTCCCTGCGCCACGACCTGTCAACGTAGTCGAGCACGTACGCCTCGCGGTCTGTAGGCACCGCCTGTCCAGCTAGCACCCCGCACAGTCCGGCCATATTAGGCATTGGCGGGAATATCGCGTGACGCACCGGCTCCCACTGCTCTGTGCACACAGTGAGGCACGTCCCATACCCGTCAGTGTCCAGTGCCTCCAGCTCCCACACCAACTTGACGGGCAGCAGCATGTGCGCGCCGCCTGTGACGTCGACGAAGAAGACAAGGTGGAGCAGCATGCCATCTGGTGCAACGCCAACGGCTTCGACGAATGGTTTGCAGCCGAGGGCTGGCACGTCCGTCTTGTGGGCGCAGAGGAGCCCGCGAATGGACGCAGCCGTGTAGAGGCTCTGGCCACCGTCCATCACGTGCAACAGCTTCAGCAGCGGCCAGTGGATGGGCGGGACACCAGGGAATTCGATTGCTACGCAAGGCACGTCCGCCTCCACGCCGTTGCCCTCGTCTCCAGTTCCGGCGACAATCGTGAGCGGGGGCATCCAGCTGTGCTCGCTGATGGGAAAGGCCGTGCGCTGGTTGCCATCCAGGTAGTCGTGTGTGGGCGTGTTGTCCAGGAGGGCAACAATGACGTCTTGCTGCAGCCCAAAGATGGAGCTGGCCCTGCAGATGTCGTACACATCGAACATGCGCCCTGCACGAACGATGCCCTGCACGATGTTGGTCAAGGCGAGCAGCACTGGCCGCGGAATGCCGTTTCGTTTCTCGGCCGAAGGAGCAGCACTGATGCCCTTGTCGCCCGAAGACGCAGACGAAGAAGAAGACGCGGGAGCTGTACTTGCCAGCAGCAGGGACGCGGCCAACACCTTTGCGAGCTTGGCCTCCGCGCTCGTTCCAATCAGAGGGCGAACAGCATCGAGCATGTTCATGGGCCGCACAACCACCTTGTCGCTCGCGTGGGCCCTGTCAGTGTACAGCACCGCCAGGTGGCCGCCGTCACTCTTGTCACCCGGATCGCCCGCATGAGCGTCGTTGATAATGAGGACGTGGCTGGCAGAAGCAGCGGCCTCCTCCCACACAAGCCAGCCACGGCTCTCGTGCTCCGCAGCCGTCCGGAGCTTCTCCGTGATGCTGCGGACAGTGTCCGTGCCAGGTGCACTCTGGAGCTGTTCCTGGTCCAACGCGGCAATGAGGTTGCACAGGTGGATGCTGTTGTGTGCAAGCGCAGATGCTGTGGCAACGATAAGGCGCTCGTTGGTGTTGTAGAGGTAGAAGCTCTTGTAGATGGACCAGAGCCCCTTCGGCATGGGCTCACAGCACAAGTGGTCCACCCAATACGTGCCCGGGCCCAGGATGGCTGGGTTGAGACCTCCCCGCTTGCGGTTGCCGCCAGCGAAGCGGCATGTGGTGCACTTGGCCTCGCCGCCCGGCCATTCAAACTCCGTGCCAGCGATGGCGCTCCACTGATAACTGACGACAAGCACGTCCTTGTCTCGTGGCTCAACGTGGAAGCAGCGCAAGGCGACGTTGCCCTCCTCGTCAACAACGACAACGTGCTCGCCACCAAGTAGGTCATCGTCGACGTAGGTTGCGCCGTACTCAGTCTCCACGTCGTCATCATTCCAGAGGAATTGCTGGAAGATGAACTTAGAGCATGCCTCGCTTGCCTTGTCAAAGGTGGCCGTCCTGTCCTTGAGGAGAGTGAGCGTTTGACGCAGGGAAGCGGGAGGCGTAGGCGGAGGGTCCATGCCTACGGCACTTGGCGATGCAAACGTGGACACCATGGACCGCAGTGCCTTGGCAGTCTCCTCGTCGATGCCGGCGCTGGTGACGGTGTCCTTTGTGGTGTCATCTGCCTCTGCAGTGTCCTTCGCGGGAGGGTCCTTTGTAGTGTCGGCTTCAGTGTTCTTTTGAGTGTCGTCTCCAACGGCCGATGGTGGTGAGGGGGAGGGTGCCGTTGCACTCCCACGGTTCTCAGGGCTGGCACCTTCTTCCCTTTCCGTGTCGTCTTTGTCCTTGTCCTCGCTGGCGCTCTGCCTTCTCGGTTGCTGAACGACAATCGCCTCCCTTTCTCGAGCCTTGTTCACGGCGGTGTCAGCGGTGCCAGTGTTGGTGGACGCAGCGTACGGCCCTCCAACATCTCCACGGCCACCCACGCTCTCCTCATAGTCATCTGCACCTGACTTGGCGCACGGACACAACAGTGACATTGCGATCGCAGGTGCTTTTGTGTTGTGCTTATTGCTTTTTGCTTCTTGTGGTTTATGCCATTTTGGGGGCGTGGTCGGACACAAAACGCGAAACGCGCCAACCACGTTCACAACCACATCCACAACGCATCAAACACCCACACATCCACGCACACACACACATATCCACGCACCATTCACACATCCACCCACAACGCATCAAGCACACACACACACACACACATTTACCACGAGCTAAAGTTGCCAAAGCCGCCAGATGGCTTTGACTTCTTTGAGGATGGAACAGAGGACGAGGACAGCAGTGTTGACGACGATGACGATGACGATGATGATGATGATGCGCCTCCTGTGAGCACACACATACACACACACAAGCCACAGGACAAGAGTGAGGGCACACAAAGTGGCTCTAATACGCCTCCCTCCCTCCCTTCCTCCCTGCCACATCACGTTCCTTTCTGACAGGGGTGCGTCCCATTACGGCAGGTGCACACTCACGTTTGCCGGACGGTGCAATGTATTTTCCCACGCCAGATCGGTATTTCTAACAGAGGAGGGAAAGGAGGAGGTGAAGGAGGGCGTGAGAGTGGCTAGAGCACACCTCAGCGAACATGGCACACGTCACAGGCAGAGATGCTGACGCACGCACACGCATGCACGCGCACCTTTGGAGCAGCCGTTTCCTTCTTCTTCTTCTCTTCCTTTTTCTTCTCATCTGCCTTTGCTGCAGCCTCCTGTTCACATACAATTGAGTACATGAGGAACATGCGAAATACAGCTGGCGAACTGCTGTGTGCCCACGCGCACACACACATACACACACTCTCTCGTTTTCTGTGTCTCTCTCTGTGTGTTTCTCTCACACACATAACACAAACACCACAAACTCACACACACTCATACACACACTCTCTCTCACACACACACACACACTCTCTCTCTCTAACTCTCACACACAACAGCTCGCTGCACCGACCTGCTGCTTCTGGGTGTCGAGGTCCTGGAACGGATCCTTGAAGACCTTCACGTCAAAGATCTTAATCTCCTGGTGGCGCGGAGCAGGCAACAGTGCAGAGGGAGTGACGCGCGTGCGTGGGGAAGGGATGAGGCATCAGCAAGCAGTCCGTACTCGCGAACACAGGACAGACGAAGGAAATCCTTCAGCCACAAAAACCACACGCACACACACACAACACACACACATGCACACACACACATGCACACAAACGCACACGAACCTCTGTTGGCCTGTTGTCGTCATCGACCTTTGCTCTCTCCATCGCCAGAAGCACATCAAATCCGCCAACAACTTGGCCAAACACAGAGTGTTTCCGGTCAAGATGTGGACATGACCGATACGTGATGAAGAACTGTGTGTGTGTGTGTGTGTGTGTGTGTGTGTGTGTGTGTGTGTGTGTGTGTCAGGAACCAAAAGGCGGGACATTTCAGATTCAACACGTTCAAGTGAGAGCACATGCGACAGACATCAAAACAATTGGACAGACCACACAAGCGACATGGCGAGCGAGTGTCTTTGAGGTATCACGGTTGCAAGAACAGCTGAACAAACATCTGCGCGGACCTGTGATCCGTTTGTGTTGGGTCCTTTGTTGGCCATGCTCACAACACCGCGTCCTGATGTGCACACAAAGGTCCGTTTGTTTGGAGAGCAGACACGGATGGACGTAAGACGGACAGAGATGTCAGCAGCGGTTCCCACAATCCGCTCAAACTGTGACAAAGTGCAACGACGTGTATGAACACGCACACACGCACACACACGCGTACATACAGATGCACACGCGCACATACACATATACATACAAGCCCAACCTTTGTGCTTGAGGTTTGGCGCGAATTCGTCCTTGAATGGTTTCCCGCCAAATGCCGACTCGCCGCCCTGGCCCGTGCCCGTCGGGTCGCCACCCTGGTACGCGTATGTGTATGTGTGTGTGTGTGTGTGTGTGTGTGTGTTGTGTGTGTGCGTGTGTGTTGTGTGTGTGCGTGTGGGATGTGGTGTGATGTGGTGTGTTGTGTGTGTGTGATGGGATGTGGTGTGTGTGTGTGTGTGTGTGTTGTGGTGTGATGTGGTGGGATGTGGTGTGTGTTGTGTGTTGTGTCGTGAGTAGTTGAATCACATCGCCATGCTTCGATCGATCAAGAAAGAACTTTCTTCGTTTACACCATCCATGCGCACATGCGCATGCACATCAATTTGCGTGCACATGCAGCCGTGCCTGCTCACCTGGATCATGAAGTTTCTGATGTTGCGGTGGAAGATGGTGTTGTTGTAGTAGCCCTGTTGTCGAAGCGAAAAAGAGTGACATGGGAGGCACGCGCACGTACACACGTATGTCAAACAATGACGTACTGCAATGTGCGTGCACAACACATGCACACTCATGATGGGGAGCCAGCAAATTGCCCGCACGTACAGATCGGACGTGGCGGAGAAAGTTGTCGCATGTCTTCGGCACAATATCGCAGTGCAGCTGTTGGTGGAGGGACGGGGATCGTGCGATGAGCAAGGTGGTGTGAGCCACACGGGGTGGTGGTGCTGAGGAGAGATGTAGCAGTCGAAGCAAAGTGTTGACACAAAACATGACGCACACGCGCACACGATGCACGCACCTCGATGTTGATGTCTCCGAACGTTGTTCGCAGGCGCACGTATGCCTTGTCCTTGATGTTCTTGTATCTGCAGGGTTGGCCGCATGAGCAGCACGGATGGATGTGGTGCAAAGAGACAATGACGAAGGGGAACAACGAGGAGAACCCGGGAGTGAGGTGAAGCATGAGGGGAAACAAGCTGCAATCATGCCATCATCATCAGCAACACACGTGATGCAACCACCAAGCAATCATCGCCACAGGAACGGGGCTGCGAGTGCTGACCGGACAACATCGTCGTCGATGGATGCAGCGGTGTTCTTTGTGCGAACGGTCAGATGCGTCGCGGTGAACGACCGGCTCACCTCACCTGCAGCCGCAATCGTGGCGAACATCGTGGCGAACATCGTGGTGTGTTAGCGTGTGTGTGTATGCGTGTGTGTGTGTGCGTGTGTGTGTGTGTGTGCGGACAAGCAATGGCATTGCAGCTGAAATGCCATCACACAGGAACAAGACATATCATGGCCCGCGTTCGTTCACACACATACATACACATACACACACACACACGCACCTGTTGAGAAGTGCGCGGTGTGTTCCTTGTCCTGTGGGTCTGCTGCTGCGTCGGAGCTCAGCACTGACGAGTACTTCTTGTTTGCCGCCACCATATCCGACTTTGCAACCTCGTCCTGACGGCCCACGACAGGGAGGTGAGGTGGCACAGGCGCATGTTGGCTCTTTCCCATCTGACACCAACAGTGCAAGCTGGGCAAACAAAAACACATGCACAACGGTGGTGCCAAGCCCCGCCTTCCTTCCCTTCCGCCCTCCAGCCTTCACCTTTTCCCCTTCCCCCGCCCACGCACCAGGATGGCCTGTGTATCTGTGTTGCCGGAGCGCACGGTGGAGCGACCGTCATCGGCCTTCTGCTTGCCATACGTCAGCTTCTTCTTGATGTAGTAAAAGTTGGCAAAGTTGTTCTTCTCCGGGTTCATGGGATCCTGCAGCGTGATGATATCCGCCCGCTTAAACGGCTCCTCCGTCAGCAGGTCGTTCCAGTTCTTCGCCTGCGCGCGCGCGTGTGTGTGTGGGGGGGGGGGGTTGTCAGGATTTGATGCCGGCATTGTTTGAAGGATGCACACACGTGTTTCATGCATGCTGTGCATACAAAACTTGCCCCCCCCCCGCCTCCATCTCTTTCTTCGTGGCAACAACGACACCCACCTTGATGTTGAACTCCTTGATGGCGTCATGGGCGTACACGTTACCCGTGGTGGCAATGGCGGAGATGTGGGTGTGCTCGTTGAACACCTTAAACGTGACGGGGCAATGATACTTGCCGTCTGCGTTTCTGTTGTCACACGAGTTGACACGGCAAGAGCAGACGCAAGCAACTTGAGCGTTAGCGATCCCAAGAAGCAACATATGATTCGTGTGATGAACCACAGAGAGGGTGATAGCGAGGCAGGGACACAGGCAGGGACACAGGGACACAGAGGGAAGAGAGGGGAGACACCACACACACACACACACACACACACACACACACACACAAGCGAGAGGTGGTTGAAGCGCTCAAGAGGTCTACTTTGTGAAGTTGAGCTTGATGAGGTCCTTGAGCGCAAGCTTCTCGCCGGTGACGGGGTGTAGGCCATGCTTGCGAATAAAGGGGACAATGTTGACGAGATCAAACACGTAGCCATCTCGGGTACACATGGGGTGCTCGACCGGCTGCAGCGACAAACAACAGCAGTCAAAGGGAAGCTTCTTGTACTTGGCACTCGCGCCTGCAATTGATTGCCAGCAAGGAAGCGCAGATGGCAAACCGGCAAGGCAAAGTGGTGAGGTTGCGTGAACGAGGAACGAGGTGTGCCCAGGAAGAAGGACACCAGGAAACCGTTGCAACTCGAACAACAAACCACAACACAACACAACACAACACAACACAACACAACACAACACAACACAACACACACACACACACCCGAAAGCATGCATGACACACGACACGTACCTGGTGCTTCCTTCTTCTTTCCGCCGTACAAGGTTGCCCATTCTGACGCCGTGATGAACAGGCGATCCTTCGAGTGCTGGTTCTTACCCATCTTGCTTGATGTGTGGCGTGCGGTTGTCGATAGCGTTCGCGTTGATATCCGTTCAATGTTTTTGTGTGTCGTGTCGCGGCGCAGTGCTTGTGTGTATGTGTGCTGTCTCGCTGTGGTGTGTTTGTCTGTGTGTGTGAGTGAGTGAGTGAGTGAGTGTGTGAGTGAGTGTGTGTGTGTGTGTGTGTGTGTGTGTGTGTGTGTGTTTGTCTGTCTGTCTCCCTCCCTCACCTCAATTCCCAAACCCCCCTACCCCCTTTCTCCTTTCTCCTGCCGCACAAAAACGCACACCCTTCTTGTTCTGCTTCAGTGCTTCACTTCTTCAAGTCTTCATGGTGGTTGCTTCTTTGGGGTGTGGGTGTACTCAAATCAAATCACATCACGCACAGGCAGAGACCAAAGCAGAAGAGAACACGTCGCTCACGTTGCAGTTGCCCGGTGTGCAGCCAAGAAGCAAGGAATCAACTCTGCGTACTTGAACGCACACGCACAAAGGCAACAGAGCGCAAACGAAGCATACCAGACACAGAGACAGACACACAGACACACAGACAGACAGACAGACAAACAAACAGACAGACAGACAGACAGACAGACGGACAGGCAAACAGACAGACACAAAGAGACAGAGAGAGGAAAAGGAGGGAGGGGACAAAGAAGAGCACGGACAATGTGGAAGGAGGGAGGGGACAAAGAAGAACAAGAAGAGAAAGAAGAGAAAGAGGGGAGCAGACGAGCGAGGATCCTCCAATTCGGCAGCCTCAGTGCACGTTGATGGTCGTGGTCATGGTGGAGCAGGAGGAGCAGCCAGGGGCGGGCGTGGAGCAGTACTCTGCGGTGATCTCGTACACGCCAGCCTTGGCATCTGTGATTGTGACCACAGTTTGTAACGCAACAGAAACCACGCCAGTCAACCCCACGACGCAGTGAGGGTAGTGAGGATGAGGAGAGAGTAACTTGAAGACTTTACGTGCAAAGTGTGTCGTACCCGTGCCAGAGAGCATCACATGTTGTGTTGTGCAGACACTGCCCTATTCTCCGCGTGCCCAAAAGAGGCAGCAACACACCCCAAGCATCTATGAGGCGCGCTGTGACTTACATTGGTGCTGTTCGTGCACCTGCAGGAGGTGGTCGTAGGTTCCTGAGGTGACGCACCCGTCATGCCAATCGACCCGCCACGTGTAGTGCCCGGGTCCTTGCGGGCAGTCGTTGAATGCCATGACGAGGGCGACGGCCGCACGCTGCCCTGGAACAGGAACGATCTCCGTGTGCGGGTCAAACGTCGGCGTGCAGGTGAATGGGCAGCAACTCACGTTGTACCCAGAGGCACGGGCGCAGTCCAGGGGGGCGAGGCGGGCGTCGTCGTTGATGGCGTCGATGGGGGCCGCCGGGAGGGCGGCCGTGACGACATGTTGCTGCGAGAACGCTGCCCCCAAAAGAAGCCCTGCAAGAATGCAGCCAAAGCCGCCATTGAAGAGAACTCCGAGCATGCCGGACGAGGGAGGTGATGAAGGACGAAGGACGAAGGGGGTTGGTTGAGGGTTGACGTTGGCTTGGAAGTGCGGTGCCTCGGGGCGGAGGTTCTTAGGTTCTTGGTTTGGCTGGTTGCTTGATGAGCTGGAAAATGAACTGGCTCACTGAGCATCTCACACTTGTATTCCGCTGAGCTGGTAGTGGTCCAGAGTAGGAGAGCTGTGTGTCTCTCTGTGTGTGGGGGTGGGGGATGTTGTGTGGCGTTCAGCACTTGTGCACAGTCGCAACTCAGCCGCTGGAGGCGCTGAGACACGAGCAATTCCCCGCCATGTCACTTTGTGCGTGTCACGCCCAAGCTCCAGAAAACAACAGAGAGAGTGTGTGTGTGTGTGCGACAACAGACCAACAAAGAGAAAGAAGGCAGAAGCACACTGCTACACTGAAAACTGGAGCAAGGGGGCGGGGCGGGTGCCTTTGTCTGCAGGCGTTGCTGCTGGCCACTTTTCACTGCCGCTGATGCAACGACGGTGTTCACTGACAACTGGAGGTGACACACACAAGCACACAAGACAAGAATACAACCAGACGCAGGCAAAGTGCACGACCAATCAACGGCACAACTGATTGACATGTTTTTGAAAGTGACATGCTTTCGCACAGTCACAACACAGACAAGCATTGATGGATGGTGTCTCCAACTCCATTTGTGATGCTGCGTCACACTGGGCGTATCAGGCCCAAACCATGACGTCATGGCAAACAGGGTGGACACACACAAAAATACAAACAGTTTGGCAAACAGGATTTTGCCATGCGTGATGGGATTTTTGTGTGCACACGTCATGGCCTGCTTTGCGCTTTACTCGTTGATGTCTGTGCTTGAGAGCGGCAAGTACGTGTCGCAGCACAGCAGCATGGTACAAGGCGCATGCTGTACTGTGCTGCTTGTTGGTGGTCTGTCTGTCTTGCTACAACCCCACACAAAGTCCAAACATACATAGTCAAACTGGTTCACCTGTCCTGCCGTACAGAGTCATGGCTCATCGTCATCGTCGTCCATCATTTCAAGCAGACTGTCAAATTCGTCTGAACACAAACACAACCGAGTGTGTGTGTGTGTGTGTGTGTGTGAGTGTGCGAGTGAGTGAGTGAGTGAGTGAGTGAGTGAGTGAGTGAGTGAGAGAGAGAGAGAGAGAGAGAGAGAGTGTGTGTGTGTGTGTGTGTGTGTGTGGAGTGTGTGGGATATGCAGATGTGTGCGTATGCACATGCGTGTTCCACGAACGTCGTACCTTGTTCAATGCCCAGCGATTCAGCCATGACCTGCACAGACGCCGAGTCTTTCTCCTGAGACTGCTGCGACGAATCAACTGCCTTCGACTGTTGCTGCTGCTGCTGCTGCTGCTGCTGCTGTTGCTGCTGCTGCTGCTGCTGCTGTTGTTGTTGTTGTTGTTGTTGTTGTTGTTGTTGTGGTCTTCTTCGATCCAAGCTACGTGATTGCCCACCTCTTGCCCCATTACCCGTGCCTGCTCCCCGCACCACAGAGTGCTGTTGCTGCTGCTGCTGCTGCTGCTGACTCACGGCGCCGCCAACATGCGCACGCGGCGGGGACGATGTGAAGAGGGGAGGCGTGCCCATAATCGATCCTGCGTTGTTATTGCCACCGCCATCACCATCATCATGCTCGTGGCGCCGATGCTGCTGCGGTTGCTGCCGTGGTTGGTTGTGTGGTGCTGGGGCTGTTGGGGATGGTGTGGTTGCTGGGGTGGCAGCTGATGGTCGCGCCACCTTCACCTGTGCAGACACGCGCAGTTGTAACAAGTTTGTTGTGAGTGCGTTCGTTTGTTTATGGCATCAGCACCAACAACACACACAAGCTCGCATGTGTGCAAACGTGCAAAGTAAGAGCGCCACCATCACCACCACCACCACACAATAACAACAACAACAACAGGCGCGATACCTCTGTTGCATCTGGAAGGAAGACGGTGACAATGTTCTTTGCGGTGATGTTGAGGTAGTGCCGGCGGGGCGAGGGGCTGAACACAGACACCTGCCGCAGCACAAGCACCGCCCCTTCAACCAGATGGTCCGCCTTCACAATATCAAGCACGCCAGGGTGCACGCTGCCCTTCATCACCCCTGTTGGCGCAGTTACATACGTGGATGGGTCAGAGGCGATGGGGTGGGAGCGTTGGGGGGGGGAGCAGGAGCTCGTGTGAGTTTGGGAAGGACACAACTCGCATGCATGCAACGAAAAGCTGTGTGTATGTGTGTGTGTGTGTGTGTGTGTGTGTGTGTGTGTGTGTGTGTGTGTAAATGCGGCACCTGTTGGGTCGCAGCCGATGATGGAAGCGTCGCGGCCGCTGAACCGGATTGAGCGGATCATTATTGCAATGTACGGAATCTGAACACACACACACACATGCACACATATGTACAATGTAGTTGAAGAGGTGCGTGCATGTGTTGGGGAGTTGAACGCGAGCAGGTGTTGGTCAAAGTAAAACCAAAAACAAAAAACGCGTCAGCCTACAGGGCGAAGGAGCAACAAAACAGTGGCGTAGCAAGCACAGGCAGGACATATGCACACAGTGCCAGACCCCTCACCTTGCCGAAGAGGTCAGAGGCGAGGATGGTGGCAATGTTCGCCTTTCGTACGCCGTTCCACGCTGATCAATGAAAAAAAAAACCACAGACACACACACACATACACACGCACAGATAAATGTCAAGCATGCACGTAACACACATGCAAGGGTGTGGTCAACACAAACCAAGGAAATAAATTGCACGACCACACTTGGTGGACATCGAGACTGCATCGCAAGTTGCAATATCACTGAGACGACACAATCTCCCACCACCTCCCCTCCTCCCACTTCCTCTTCCCCCTCCTCCACCGCCATCACCACCACCTCCTCCTCGTCATCAATCATTACCATCATACCGTTCTTGCTGCTCAGCTCCACCATGCGTTTCCAGGCCGCGGTTGCAAAACTCGGCAGCGGGCGCCGCCGGCGGTGGTATGGCAGCTGAAGACACGCAGTGGCGCGTGTGCGTGCGTGTGTGTGTGCGCGCGTGTGTGTGCGTGCGTGCGTGTGTGGTTGACTGATGAGGCTTGATTCAAACGAACCCACAACAAGCTCAGGCAGGCGATGCGTGTTCAAGCAGTTGCCGTGGGGGCAAAGCACGTCATCAAATATCAACGTACCTTGGACAATGGTTCATTCAGGTCCGTGTCTTCCGTCTACACATGATGTTTGATGTGGTTCAAACAAACACATTGGTGATGAGGGAGGTGTTACAACGGCATGCACACACGCACGCACGCACACACACACACACACACACACACACACACACACACACACACACACACACACACACACACACACACACACACACGCACACACACACACACACACACACACACCAGCTCTGGAAGTGCGCCTGCTGGCCCGGGAAACCGCCGCGGCACCTGCACGGACTCCTCCACATCCTCGTCCAGCACATCAAACATGGGCGCCGGGGGCGGTATGTGCTGGTACATGCGCGTGTGCGCGTGCGAGTGCGGGCGGGGCAGGGAGCGGCTGCTGAGGTGCGGCGGCAGCGGTATTCTGTTGGACGCGGGTGCTGGGCCGGGCATATACGGGCTGTGCACCATTGCGCTTGAGGATGGTCGGTGCCCACGCGATGGCGCTGATCGCGAGCGTGACGATGATGAGGATGAGGATGACGACGACGACATTGCTGCTGATGCTGCTGATGCTGCTGTGGACCTCGGTGTTGTTGCTGCTCCCGCTCCTGTTGGTGTGACAGCGGGCGAGGCGCCCCGCGCGTGTGCGGACGAAGCCCTGTTGCGTTGTGGTGTTGTGTACTCAGCTGGTCGATGCTGGTGGCTGTTGGTGTTGTGTTGGTGTCGTGTCTGCTGGTTGTAGCCGTGCTGTTGCCGAGTCTGGTTGTTACTGTATTGGTGCTGCTGCCCTTGGTTGTGTTGACGATGCTTGGCGTATGGGTTGGAAGAGGGTGGACGAGATGAAGGATAGCTCTCGGTTGTCAAGGATGCAGTTACCTTCGCCCGTTTGCTAGTCATGGGAGCTGTTGTAGCAGCATTGTTCACAGACGATGACGCATGACACGGTTGTGGGTCGAGGCCGCGGCGCTGCTGGTTAGGCGTTGTCGTTGCTGCGGCTGGGTTGGCACGCGTGCTGTTCGTGATGTCGCGTGGTCTGCGCTCCATGGATGCTGACGAGGATGGTTGTGGTTGGGCGCGATTTGGTGTTGCAGCAGACGAGGTTGTGGTGCTGTGGGGCGGTGCTGGCGCCGGCGTGTGGCTTGCCGTCGATGCACCAAGCTCCGCATCATGCGACGCCTCTGCTGCCTCTACAAGCAATAACAAGTGCTGATGTGCACACGTGCGAGAGCATTGGGAACAGGCAAGACGTTGCAAACGTGTCGGTGAGCCAGTGAATGGCGCGGTGAGTCAGTGCATGGGTGAGTTAGTGGGTGGGTGAGTCGAGCGAGCTGAGTACGTCAGTGACAGTGGGAGAGAAAAAGGACAGGCGCGCACGGAGTGCACGTCACACACACACACACACACACACACACACACACACACACACACACACACACACACACGCACACACACACACACACACCTCTTCGTCCAAGTCATCCTGGTCGCTGTTTGCCGCGGCGGTGCCATTGTCGTTGGCGGTATCTCGTCCGTGGTTTGTCGACTGTCCTGGCCCTCGCTCACGGAGGTTGTGTAGCAGGTCGTCAAACTCCATGCCTCTGTCCCAAAGCACATCCAAAGCACAGTGAGAGAGCGCGTACGCGGGGGTGGAAGGAACAAAGTGTGTTCACACATACAGAGAAGAGAGAGAGAGAGAGACAGAGTCGCGCACACACGCACACACACACAACACACACACACACACACACACACACACTGCAGCACACACACACACTGCAGAGCACACACACACACACACACACACACACACACTGCAGCACACACACACACACACACACACACACACACACACACACACACACACACACACACACACACACACACACACACACACCCTTACTCTTTTT